GGTCAACCTCAAAGCCGAGAACCTTAGCCTCTCGAATGTGCTAGAATTTGGCTTTCATTGCTGGATCGGTGATTTTTTAGATAATCTGCTCAGCATCGGGGCAAGTTAATGCCATGTCAAGAGTTTCTTGGCAGGCCTTCGGCAATTCATACAAGTCGTTAGCGGAATATTTCTTGTGAAATTCTTTCATATATTCTAATGATTCGTCGAGGAATAGAAGGTGCAAATTCCATTGAACTTTGATTAGAGGTTCTTTCAACGGTAACGGAAACTGTTGGCTTTCGACCACTTTCTTAAATTGCTCGAAACGAGCTTTCATTTCCCCGGGCCGAAGAAGAAGTTTGATCCGCTTCTCGGCTGCTTCAATGGTAGTTTCAAAGTCCCAATTGGTTTCCTTCTGCCCTTGTAATTCAGCCATGATTGTTGGGGTTGGTCGATCATCTCCGCTTCCTGCTGTCTCTTTCGGCTGTCATTTAGTGGTTGAAACAGGCTGGGCAGCTTTTTGTCGAGCCAAGCAATCTATACGCTGACGTCAACGTTTCTGAGATTTGGATAGCGCGGTATACATGCCAGTGGGAGAATTGTAGTTGTACCAACGTTGGTTACGTAGTTCAGGTGGCCTGAAGGTTTTTTTATTTGCTAATGAGCTCGAACTACTGAAATTGGGAATAATAGTCCTCGTTGTAAAACGGTGTGTCGAAATCAAGGCGTCGTCTGACCGATGTAGAACCATCTGTTTATTTCCTTAGGCCGAGCCAGTCGAATACTTTCTGGCGCTGGCCTTCACTAGGTTCATTTGAAGGTTTTGCTATAATTACCGATTAGTGTTGTGATGTCGGCATCTGCATCAGAGACAGTTTCCCTTTGGGCTCGATTAATACAATGTGTGCCTTACAATTGCTACACAGAACTATCGGCCCGCCATTTCCATCTTCACTGGAGTCTGACATGGACTCAACTATAGTAGGTCCTGAGAGTTCGGTAAGTGGTGCATTAGAAAACAAATCGATCTTAAGTCGAGGTTGGGAACCTTTCTTTAGGATCTGTGGTACTATTGGCCCGCCATTTTCTTCGTCGTTATAGTTCGACATTGGTTCAACTACTGCCAGTCTTGATAGCTCAGTAGGTGGCGCGTTGGAAAATAGATCGATCTTGAGTCGAGGCTGGGAGCTTTGCTTCCGGATATGTTGTACTGGGGTAAATTCGACCTTCTTTTTTCCTTTGCTCTTGGGCAAACGGGCGTCTACCATGCCGACTGTCACTGAAGGGAATGGATCTGTATCAACCGTCATGCGTTTTTCAGGAAACTTTAGCTTGCCTTTGTCAATCCAGCTCTGGATATCATCACGTAATATGACACAATTGTTTGTTGCATGCTTTGTCGAGTTATGGTATTTGCAATATGTCATTCCTTTAAGTTCTTCGGCCTTGGGAATATTATGCCATGGCCGAAGTTTAATGATCTTCGCTGATAACAATTGATCAAAAATTACTTAAGCCTTTGTGATATCAAAGGTATAAACTTTTGATGTTTTTACTGTTTCTTCAGTGGCCGAGCGGGTTTTGACTTCTTTGGAATTAATTTGAGTCAATGCCTTGCACACGTATGGTTTATCTATTACTATCTCGGCCGCGTCCACGCTGACGTACTAAGATTCCTCGCCTTCGGTCGACTCGTAATTGACCGTAGGATTTTTGTAAATCGTCCCTCTAGATGAGGGTTTTGACATCTTCTATTCTCGGAGCAAATAGTCATATTGCTCAACATGCTGGGCTAATTCATACATATCCTGAAAGTTTGCCCTTAAAAATTTCTTTTTGTATTCTACATCGAGTCCGTTTAAAGCAAGTCTAACAAACTCAACTTCAGGGAGAGGTACTCGGCACCAATTCCTGGCTGATTTAAATCTGGTAAGATAATCCATTAGTGACTCATTAGACGCTTGAGCCATCCTTGCCAACGAAGAAACTGACATTTCCATCCCTGGCCGATAAAATTGCTCGTGAAATCTCTCGACCAATTCCTCCTAGCTTTGGATGGAATTGGGTGAAAGGTTGTTATACCAAGCAAATGCTGAACCTGTCAACGAAAAGTTGAACAACCGCAGCTTGTGGAAATCACTGTTGGCAGCTTGTGAAATGGGCCATATGTTCTAACGAGGATAAAGACGATTCTCCAACGAAAAAACTAAAATCTAGAATTTTGAAACCTTTAGGATATTCGAACTGTTCCACGTAAGCTGGATACGGATAGATCAATTTAGGGAACTTCGACCCCTTTTTCATGGCCGAATCAATCATCCGCTGGACCTCGGTTACATCGACGGACGTTACTTACTTTCTGGTCAGGTCTATCTATCCTGCTACTCGATCCTCCTTTTTTTTCTAAGTCAATTGGCTTAAGTCGAGTAAGAATTGGCTCGGCATGTACTACTGGCAACAGATTATTCTTTGGTGGCAAGTGCCGGGAAAGATCGAATGACTTGTCTCGCAGACCTTGCTAACCAGTATTTCAAGCAATCTGTTTTGTACGTCACTATTACTGCGTCACATCGTGCAGTTTATTGATTCCTCAACTAAATGTCTGTTCAACCGCCCTAGATTGTTCGTCAAGTCGTCTTCGAATAAACGATCTTGTTGGTGGATCAAAGCCTTCACCACCATCCTCATCACAGTCCTCCATTATCCCTTCATTAAGGACACAAGTGTTCTTGTTAGGGATTTCTAGACTGCAAAGCTGACCGCCGAGACCAATTTCCTTTTCTCGGCGAGTCGCGCTTGTGGACTCAGGTGTCACGGCACTAAGGGGATTCTGTGCATGTGATACACTTTGTCCTATGTTCTGAATTGGCAAATCGGTTGTTGATTTTCCCATAGTTGTTTTCTTTTTAACCGATCATGTTTCAATTGGCATGAACTTCGTAGTTTAGCACTGAGTCTCACTGGGCGTGCCAAAATGTTGACTCTAAAAACTACCAAGCCTACGTGGCTCGCAGGCCAAGTAATATATGGGCTAACTATGTCCTTCGGTTGAATGCAGGGCATGCCAACTCGTCGGCCGAGCTCGACCGAGGAGTAAAATATGCTAATGTTGTGTTGAATGCGCGACCGACTTCTGCATCTTGCGATTGCGACCCAGGAAGGAACACGTCTCGGCCTCTTGGGTTCTTGAACCTAAAGACAAGGCTACTATTCTTACGAAGTTCACAAATCATCGACGTCGGATTCGGTCACAGTGATGGTATTCGTCAGAGTAAACTCATGTCGAATCAACACCAAAGTGTAAGGGCACAAATACACAAAGCGAATATATGTCTTAACAATAAACGTGGTTCGGCCGTTGGAATGCCGAACTCTAAATCCCACTTGAGAGCATGCAATCATAAACTAACTCGGCGTGCAGTAAGCCGAGCCTAATAAACCGTAACACCTCATTTCGCTGAGAAGACTAATGAGATGACCTCGACCAATAAGGATTCGGAAATCCTTTTCGACCGATACTTGGATAGATAACCAGTCACCCTCACCGCAGTGTTATCTATGCCGACTGAAGATATCATCGGTTGCCTTCACAGTACTGTTTATCCAAACTGAAGGTGTGTCAGCGAAAAAGAAAAGGAAAATATCTCAAGGTTGTTAAGAAAATTTGCGCAGGGCAGTTGTGTGTGGAATTGGAGGGGCCTTGAACGATGCACGGCCTCTTTTATTTGTAACACCAGGCACTTTCTAGATCGAGTTAAAACCCTACTCGGATTAGGATTTCCTCTTCTCATCAAACACCATCTCGACCAGTCCTATTTTCACTATGACTTTGAACCTAGTCCTTTATCAAACCGAATTCACTTCTATCCATATCTTGCTGAGACTCCTTATTGCACCAGGATTCAATTACTCGTCTCGCAGCATGACTTGACTGAACTAGGTTAGGAAGCCCACGAACTAAATAATCTACAATAACCTTTTTTGTACGGCCTTTCGGGCCGAGAATACATCTCGGCCCAAACCAATATTTTGGGCCCAAACAGTCTCGTAGCATCTGTCAATTTTACTCACTTTTCCTTTACAAACCATCTTTTCTTTTGCAAACCTTCTAGATGCTTGAGCAGCCCTTTGTATTCTCTCTTCCGTTAGTGACCTAAATGCAATCTTCATTCCCGCTAGTGCATAAAGTTGGCATCATTCTGGCACCCTTTGTAACGCAGGAAGACTTAGGCTAATTTTGTTGTCGCTAGTCCATGCTTCATGTTGTTTTTCCATGTTCATGCTTGTTGCTGCAGTGTTGACATCTTCAACTTTGAGAAGACAGAGCATGGCGTCGGGACTCTCACGGAACTTTCAAGTTTGATTGGAACTTCACGGGGTGGTTTAGACCACCCCGAAAAAATTCATGGAACTAACTGCAGCGGCACAAACTACTCATTTTTCTTCTTGGCATGGACGAACTTGCTGGGCAGAGATCACGACATGGCTGCTGCTTGGCCAAAAGAAGAAGAGGACGAGGGAGAATGAACACTACACTGCTGCGTTCCATTTTTGGTCTTCTGTTTGGTATTGGTGGTCTGATCATGCTGCCACTGTTGAGAGACTTGGATTTGATCTCTTTTTTTTTTTTTTTTTGGTAGTTGCAGATCTCCAAAGACCTACGGATTTATACTATATGGTTCGAAACCGCCGGAGAAGAATAAACTGGTAGTCAGTGACTCGACGGAGAGAGGAAGTGTCACGGGGAACTTGAAATGAGGGTGGTGACTGGGTTTTTTCAAAGCAACGCCCCCTATTAAAAGGGTGGGTTGCTCTTTACCCGTTGTCGGCAAGATTGTAGAAGAAGGAGAACATATTTTTTTTCTTCCCTTATCTTTTGGTTGCCATGGGGAAATTTTCCCATCCATCTTTCTGGCTTTGGTGAAAAAGGAAAAGCCAAGTTCCTCTTTTATTGATCCTGCAAAAAGCTGCACCTAATACACAAAACCAAGAATAAATTAAAGACAAAGATTTGATACCTTTGGGTACTTTGCTGTTCTTTGTCGTGTGCACCCCTTGTGCCTTTCGTTTTCTTGCTTTCTTTGTTCTTCTTTGTGGTTCGTTCCTCACCGTCATTCTGCATCGTTCTTTTTGTCTCTCAATTTCTCTTTTGATTTCTGCGGTGTCTCCTCTTTTTTTTTTTTTTCGTTCTTCTCTGTGAGCTTCAATTTCTGCAAGGTTTAATTGTCACTCCCCTTCGTTGCTATCTTTTCTCTCAATTTTTCTCTTAATTTCTGCAGAGTCTCTCTTCTTCTTTTTGTGTCCTCCCCCTTTGCTTTGGTTTGATGCCTTTTTATAGGCGAAAAAGTGGACATGGCAGTTGAAGCTAGTAGGATGCTATTTTCCTGCGGTGTGGAGATGCTCAGAGAAAGCCATCACTTGAGTGGAGAACGTGGGGGTTTTTGGAGAGTTCTAGACACACATGATCTCTATACTTGGTTGGCACATAGATGACAAAACTCCATCAGACTTGTCATAGTCCACGTACGTGCAGGTGTAGAATATATTTTTTTATTTTTTTATTTTTATTTTTCTCTTAAGTCTCCCTGTTTTTAATAAGACTTGCTAATATATTTTATTTGTGAAAATATATAGCTTAACAATTGTCCCCTCAAGCATCGTGCATGGAAATGGCTTTGACATGTGCGAGCCTTGAAAATTTTTCTCTTCTCTAGCTCCATTTATGTTTTGATTTGACAGTGGTTTGACATCTGAGTAGACTTTTTTTTAGTTACTTGAGTTGGCCAAGAATTCTAAGAACATTACACTATGTTTGGATGGAGAATTTCTAAATTTTCATAGAATTCTAAATGACGAGAATTACAATTCCCAGTAATTGAAATCCTGTTAATTGAAATTTCAATGTTTGGATGTTGGATAAATGGAAATTGCAAAATGAAGGGATTTACAATTTTCATTGTTTGGATATTCCCTAGAATTTGTATTCCATAGAGGAATACAAATTTGAAAAAAGAAAAATGTTAAACTGGTAACAAAGTCATCAATGATAAAGGTCATCAAACCCCCAAGACTGGGGCTGCCAAACCCGCACTAAAGGGAAAACTGTCTAAATTTTCCAGCAATTAAGAACTTATCAAAGGTTTGCAATAATATTTAATTGGGAAAAAACGTTTGCAATAATATGATAAGAGTTGATTGAAATAGGAAAACCCCTGTAAAGCACACTTGCAAATGTCAACCAACATTTGTGACATGCAAGACTTTTATTCTAACTAATGTCTTACTGAAAAACACTAAAATGAGAAACATAATGAAAACAATCTTATGCGCCTCGTGAAGTAAGCAATAATACCATATTCTTTTTCTTCTCAATTGGGAGAGTCTTCAACATGAGAAATTGCTTGTCATTTTCGATCAACCAAGCACATGCTTTGATTTGTTCTTCTTCACTAAGATCTGGTATTGCATTTTCTTCTTCGCTGAGATCTGGTAAACTCATATATTTGATATAGATGGGATCTCTAAATCCCAGTAGGATTATACCAATCCAACACTTATTTATATTGCTAAATGCAGTAATGAAAGTCACGGCTTTAATCATACTAGCATCTATATTTTAGTTCTTTGACAGTTAACCTTCAAAAGCACAATATAACAAGGAACTAACACCAAAGGCCATCAAAAACTAAAAATGGGCTCAACTGATGGTGGTCAAAAACCATGTGTATGGTCATCTCCCTAAGGAGGATGTAAATTTGACATAAGAAAGTAGATCTTCTGCAAAAGATCATTGAATATGAAGAATATTGTTGCAGAAGGATTTGATATGGATTACACATTGGCACAGTACAAGCCAGAAACCTTCGAGTCTCTTACATACAATGGAACTATCCGGAAGTTGGTGTACGATCTAGGATACCCTCGTGAGGTTTGTCTGTTCTGTCATTTGTTCTTACATTTCAGGAAGAAATCGATGTTGCTAACATATCAGATATTCAATTAATCTGGTTTAATATTGCAATTAATCCAGTAGTGTTGGTGCTTTTTAATTTCAACACTTAGCAGACATCATTTACTACCATTTTAAATTATGAGCAAATCATTCCACCCTTCCCAGATAAGGTTACAGAGTAAATAGACAATTCAATCGGAGAAAGTAAAACATAATAAGATCACACCCAAATGGCAATTCAACCGGACAATTCACCCTTCCCAGATAAGATAGCACCCAAAAATACATGAGGCTTACAGTAATAAGATCGCACCCTAAAATACATGATCGCACCCAGATAAGGATGGAATGAAACCAGAAATACATGATGCTTACAGGAAGATCGCACCCAAAAAGCTAAAAATCTTTCAAGATAGAATAGAGTAGTGACGCTGACCTAGAACAAAGGAAGAAGATGATTGCACAATCGAAAATCCCTTCGAAGATTGGAGAGTTAACAGAGTGAAGATCGTGCAGCCCTTTTGTTGTGAAATTTGGCGATAGATATCTGACTTTGGTGCCCTAATCCTGAAGTTTGGCGTGCACAAAATCTCCCTGCGGATGAATTCGGGATTCTCATCGTTGTTGGAATTGTGAAATTACACCTCTTTAGGCGGAAATTAAACTCGGAATTCTTCATCCCCAATTTCCACCTTTATTCCTATAGAATTTGCCGTTTCTCGCGCTACAAGGTTCCCAAATGAGGGAAAACTGCTTTCCCATCCTAAATTCCCTAGTTTAAGTGAAATTTTGTTTTATTTTACCGTATCCAAACAGAGTGTTAGTGTATAGCAGTTTATCCACGTGCAATACCATTAGTGGAAAAGAAGCAGATGAGGTCGCTTGTGTTCTTCGTCAGCAATATGATTCCGGAAGAGTTTATGTCAAGCGTCGAGTGAGAGACCTTAAAGCTTCAATTAAGTGGAAATTGGATGTAAAACTTTGTCAGTCCTGGATTGACGTGAATGAAGGGCTTCTCTTGGACATTGGGCGTGCTGAAGCTTTGAACAAATCTGCAGAAGAAAGAATTTGGATAAAGTACAAAAAACTACCTCAACTATTGGTGTCACGACACTTTCATACCTCATCTTTTAAAATTGACAATGTCATACCTCATCTTGTGAATTTGTGCCAATGTCATACATCCGTCAATTTTTCTGTTAATTTTCCTGTTAAGTGCTGATGTGGCTACATGCAAATCCACTCACTAATAATTAAATATATTTTTAATAATTAAAAATTAAAAAAATAATTTTTTTAAAACTCTCTCTCTCTCTCTTCCCCATCTTCCTGCAACCCAAAAAGAAAAAGAAGGAGGAAGAATAAGAAAAAAAAAACAAAAAAAAAAAAACCCAAACCAAATTTTGTTCGTCCCCCCTCCCCCCATCATAAACCCAATCCTCTGCAACCCAGAAAGAAGGACGAGGAGGAAGAAGAAGAAGAAGAAAAGGAAAAAAAAATGGAAATCGTCCGTCCCCCCCCCACCCAACCTGCAGAAGAAGAAGAGAGAGAGAAGGAAAAAAAAAAAAGGGTCTGTCCCCCCCCCCCCCCACACCCAACCTGCAGAAGAAGAAGAGAGAAGGAAAAGAAAAAAAAAAAAAGGACACCTAGTTTGGACACCCAGTTCGTCCATCCGCCCCCCTGCCGTGTACCCACCCTCTTCCCTCCACATCCATTCCCCCCACTTTCCTGATTCCATCTCAACGAGATCTAGGTTTTTGTTTTTTTGGGTTGCAGGTAGTGGGTGCGAGGTTGGGTGCAGATGGTGGGTGGGAAGGTGGGGAGGTTGGGTGCGGGGAGAAGAGGGGGTGGGAAAGACAAATTGGTTTTTTTTTTTTTTTCTCTTCTTTTTTCTGGGTTGAAGTTGTAGGAAGGGGGAAGAAGAGAAGATGGGGAGAAGAGAGAGAAGGGGGGAAGGGGACGAACTGATTGTTGGTTTTTTTTTTTTTTTTTTTTAACTTTTCTTTATTATTTTAATATTTAAAAAATATTAAATGATTTTTTTTTAGTTTTTAATAATTTTTTAATAAAAAATGGGCTCCGGATCAAGCCACCTCAGCATTTAACTGAGAAATTCACGTCAAGCTAACGGAATGTATGACATTGGCACAAATTCATAAGATGAGGTATGACATTGTCAATTTTAAAAGATAATGTATAAAAATGTCGTGACATCAATAATTGAGGTAGTTTTTTTGTACTTTACCCAAATAATTTTGAACTCGATTGCTTCCCTGCTCCACTCTTGCAGTAAACCGGAGTAGGGATTCATGTGGTTTTCCTTCTGTTTTGCCCTCCTGCTATTTTATGTTGGCCTTTCCTCTTTTTTCGCAGACTCTTTTGAGCAAACTTGGTTGATAATAATGGGTTCATTGAACCAAAACGTTTGAGATTTATTTGAATTTTCTTATGTTATTCAAAACCATATTCCTTTACGCATCTCCCTTGCTCAGTTTACGTTCCGTGTTCTAACTTCAGCATGCCATACCTTTACCTCTATATATATATATATAGGCTAATTATATTAGCACCCCACAAGTTGTTGAATAAATTTCACATACTTAATACACCCCACATTTACTTTTTTCAATTACAAATTATCTTAATACACCACACTTCCTTCCCCATAATACCCTCACATCCCACATTCTTAATATACACCTTACATTTTCTACATACACCCTCACATTTCTCAAATCTTGTAACACTCATTTTTAATTTTGCCGAATTATTTCAAATCATCTGAACGTTAGTCTGTCGAATGATTTCAAATTGAATTATTTGAAAAAAAAAATGTTTAGGTTCATTTGAACGTTTTTCAATAATAATAATAATGATTTCAAAGCTACCATGTTGTTTCCATTTTCTTGTGCATATTTTGGTCGAACCAAGTCGACCTGCAAGAAAGCACCTTATGAATGACATTGACTGCAATCAGTTTGCATGCCATGGTTTTTGAATTATGAGATTCATAAGTGTTAATTCTTGAACTATTAGATTGAGTGAGATTAAATAATTATCGATGTCGTCGAAATCACTAAAACAAAGAAAAATATTAAGTCTTACCTCATATAAAGCTTTCGAAACACCGATTTCTTGTTCCGGTCAAAAATAATTTTTTTCAATCAACATGTTTGTAGTTTCATTGCTTAGGGTTTTATTCAACAATAGAATGTGGGAAGGGTTTTAATAGTTGAAGTAAATAAATAATACGTTAAAAGTGATTTGGGGTGTATTTAGAAATTTTTTATTTTTTTTTCAACCTAATAAGGTCAAAATTGTAATTGCATAATAGGGTAAATAAGTTATTAATATTAAATTTTAATGTAGAGTACATTCAACAATTTGTGGGATGCTAATATAAAATATCTAGAGAGAGAGAGAGAGAGAGAGAGAGAGAGAGAGAGAGAGAGAGAGAGAAATGCTTTAGTTAGTAATCTTGTAATGAAGGCGTCTTTTCCTTTATGTTTAAAAGGGTTTTTTTATTTTTTTTTCTGCAGCATGTTTCTACAAATATAGATGTACCGTTTTTCAATGACTTGGATTCTCTGCCCTATCATTTCGGTGTCCTTTTCGTGCCCTCCTGTTTTGTGTGGTTATGGTTAATTCATGCTAACATTTTATATTGTTTTTTTATAAAAATAATTAAAAAAAAAAATAGTAATATAAAATATTGACGTGGCTTAACCGTGACCACACAAACAGGAGGACACGGAAATAACACCTAATTGAGAGGGCAGAGAATCCAAGTCCGTTTTTCAAACATGGTCGTTGCTTTTAACTTTTAGTTTACATGGCACGTGTCCTCGTAGATAGCTGTGTCATTAGTCAAACATAGCTGCTGTTTTAACCTGTAGTCTACACGGCATGCTTCTTTGTAGATAGCAGCACCTTCAACTTCAGCATGCCGCACCTTTACCTCTATATATATATAGAGAGAGAGAGAAAAATGCTTTAGTTGGTAATCTTGTAGTGAAGGCATCTTTTCCTTTATGTTTTTTTTTTTTTTTTTCTGCAGCATGTTTCTACAAATATAGATGTACCGTTTTTCAAACTTGGTCGTTGCTTTTAACTTTTAGTTTACATGGCACGTGTCCTCGTAGATAGCTGTGTCATTAGTCAAACATAGCTGCTGTTTTAACCTGTAGTCTACACGGCATGCTTCTTTGTAGATAGCAGCACCATTATTCAAACATAGCTACTGCTTTAAACTTTAAGTACAGCTGCTGCATGCATGACAATTTAGTGTTTTCAATGCATCAGACTTTTTTCATCACCTTACATAAGTGAAAATCACCTATGCTTTGTCCTTAAAACTCTCGCCTGGGAAGAGTTCAAACAAATATTAGCATATGACAATTCGAACAAATGATAATTCTGTTAAGGGTAAAATATATAATTTTTGATGAGTTATGGCTGCATCTAAATTTGGGGATCAGATTGCTTACGTACTCTGTGAAGGGATCAAGTCAAACGTAGTTCATCCCTTGATTTTGGGAAAATGGTTTTTATGGTTGTATCTAGTAATAAAACTAGACTACCTACGTACCCTATGAAGAGATCAAGCCGAACGTAGTTCATCTCTTGAATTTGGAAAAATGGTTTTTATGGCTGTATCTAGTAATAAAACTAGACAACCTACGCACCTTGTGAAATGATCAAACCGAACGTAGTTCATCCCTTAATTTTGGGAATTATTTTTAGTTTTTTTATGACTGCACCCATTTTTAATGATAGGTTGTCTACGTACCCTTTTTTTTTAGGGATCAAATCATACGTAGTTCAGTGTGTATTTTTTCAGACCACCTTATAAGGCTTTACGTCTAAAAAGCTCATTCTCCTTCTATTCCTTTGTTGGTCTTTTCAGTTTCTGACCATGCTCGGAATTTAAATCGATTTCGAGCAATTTGCTTTTCAACATTGCATGCCATCGAGACTAGCTCATCAAATGTTTGAGGCTCTGCAACAACAACAGAAGTTCCGATCTCAGGTACGAGGTTATGTGAGCACATTTGTATTGTCGTCGCCTCGGTCAATTTCTCTATTCATTATAGCTTTAGGCCTCTCCATCTTGCGATGAATTTACGCTTTCGTCATGCCTTTGCATGGCATTAGCTAAATCCACTATCGAGATTTTTCTTTTGGAGCTAACAAAGTGTGAAAGAAACGACTTTTGCATGTCGTCCCATGTACGGATAGAACTTAGAGGCAATTGCGTGTACCAAGTGAAAGCTGGTCCTTTTAGGGACTGCACAATTGCCTTATTAGCAAGGCGTCATATTGTGATGTCTCTCCGGGCTGGTTTGGTATTGCTGTGCTTTGAAAAAAAGCTGCTGTGAGAATAAGCGGCTGTGAAATAAATCAGCAGAGTGTTTGGTAAACTTTTTTGTAAAAGTGCTTTTGGAAAAAAAAGCAGTTTGATAGTGGGTCTTTTCATTAAAGGAGCACTGTAGTTCTGTGTGCTTTGAAAAAAAGCTAGTTTTCCAAAGCTACAAATGGCAGCTTCAGCTTTTTCCTTTGATTTCAGCTTATTCTCACAGCAGCTTCCAAAATAAGCCTTTTTTTTTTAGTTTACCAAACACCAAAAACACTCCCAGCTTTTTTTCATAGGAGCTTTTTTTAAAATCACCTCAACCCCAAACTGGGGCTCCATAGGGCTGAGTAGAAGTGAGCTAGATGTTCTTGTGGGGTGCCGTTTACGCCATCAAATTTTTCGAAACTCAGTCTTTGATAACCTTTTGGGTATGGCATGGCATCATAGTGTGTAGGGTATGGTATTTGGTACCCTAAAATTGGTGGAGTTAAGGACATATGGAATTTACGAATGTTCTCATCAAATATTTCCTTGACTTCTTGTTGTGTGATTTGACTTGAGGAACTTTCTTTTTTTCGTCTCACCACCACCAACAACGTTAGCCTTAATGGCTAGCTGTGCAGTTAATGCTACAATTTCGGCATCTTTTTCGGCTAGCTTCCTTTGCATTTCTTGAAGCTGCTCCTCTAGACGTGATGTGCTAATTACCATGACTGACATAGACTCTACATCTTCATTTTTACTCTCCAACCATTTGGGGATGTTGTTCGAGGCAAATGCCTTGTAATGGGATTGATGTAGTCTTGTTTGAGCCATTGATTGTTTAATATGACCAATACATGGT